AAAAAAAAAAAAAAAAACTGGGCGCCGTGGCTCACACCTGTAATCTCAGCACTTTGGGAGGCTGGAGTGGGTGGATCACGAGGGTCAAGAGATCGGAACATCCTGACCAAACATGGTGAAACCCTGTCTCGGACTAAAAATACAAAAATTAGCTGCGGCGTGGTGGTCATGCCTGTAGTCCCAGCTACTCGGAGGCTGAGCACGAGAATTGCTTGAACCTGGGAGGTGGAGGTTGCAGTGAGCCGAGATCGCGCCCCTCACTCCAGCCTGGCAACAGACAAGATTCCATCTCCAAAAAAAAAAAAAGAAAGAAGAATAAAGAAAAGGGGGAAGAAAAGGAATCCTTGATACTTTCCTCTTCAAGTTCAGCATCTGGTTCTTTAAATATACATCTCTGACATGGAAAAGATCTTTCAAAAAACAGCCATTGAGTAAAGTTTTCTCTTGCTGCCACCAAATGTGTCCCTTGGCTGAAAATGAGAAAGCTGAGATTTTTTTTTTTTTTAAAGAGCAGCAAATCTAAAACATTCTAGAAGTTTATTAGAAGTTGTTTTTTTTTTTTTTTTTCTTCCTGGAAATTTTTTCTTTTTGTTTTTTTTTTTTTTAGAGATGGAGTCTCACTCCGTTGCCAGGCTGGAGTGCAGTGGTACAGTCCTCAGCTCACTGCAGCCTCTCACTCCTGGGTTCAAGCGATTCTCCTGCCTCATCCTCACAAGTAGCTGTGGACTCCAGGCGCGTGCCACCTTGCCCGGCTAATTTGTGTATTTTTAGTAGAGACTGGGTTTTACCGTTTTGGCCAGGCTGGTCTTTTAACTCCTGACCTCAGGTGATCTGCCCCCTCAGCCTCGAAAGTGCTGGGATTGTAGGTGTGAGCCACCGTGCCTGGTTCTTCCTAGAAATTCTTGAGTTTCTCTCATTTTAGTGTTTAGCTATTTGATTATTAGTCTTTGAATCAAAACAGGGATGCTATTAAATTTAGCAGTTATGCCATCTAAACTTTTCAATCTAAATCATTACTTTTTTTTTTTTTTTTGGAAATAGGCAAAATTACTCTCACACGTCTGCTCAGAATGATTGCGTTCACCTCTTCCCACGCACTCAATGAGGACACCTGAGGTCAGGAGTTCGAGACCAGCCTGGCCAATGTGGTGAAACCCCGTCTCTACTAAAAATACAAAAATTAGCCAGGTGTGGTGGCGCACGCCTGTAGTCCCAGCTACTTGAGAGGCTGAGGCAGGAGAAGCTCTTGAACCCAGGAGGCAGAGATTGCAGTAAGCAGAGATTGCGCCACTGCACTCCAGCCTGAGTGACAGAGTGAGACTCCATCTCCAAAAAAATAAAGAAGTAAATAAAATAAAAACATTTTATTCTTTGAGTGTTGGGTAAGTATCTATATCAGAATTGCTAATCAAAGCTCCACAGAGAAGCGAGGCCATGTAAAGATACTCACTAATGATAGGGCTGGCAGCAGGGTAGATGGAGAGAGGGTCAGGAGGCTTGAGGTCTGTCAGTTGTGGTGGAGTGAACTCTGGCTTTAAATTCAGAAGACCTGGGCTGGGGGTCATGCTCTGTCATTTAATACGGATGTGGCCTTGGGGAAGCCATTAGATGTTTTTGAGCAGAAATTTCCTCTACTGTAGAATATGAATAGTAATTTTTACTATGCCCTCCTTTTTTTAAAATTGTGATAAAATCCACCATTTTAAAGTATACAATTCTGTGATTCACAAGCTGACTTTCTTTTGAAATAACTTATATGAATGTGCTTTTTAAACCATTAAATGCTACAAATAGAGTGGGTAGGCAACTATCAACCTTCCAGTACTTTTCCATTGCCACATGGGTGAGAGATAATGTATTTCCTTTAATGTCAATCTGAAAGCTAGCACAGGGATGAGTAAAGCTACCTTTATATATTCGACTGTCACTGTGGGGAGCAAAAAAGATAACTTGGGTATAAAGATAACTTGGGTATTAAGATAACTTGGGTATTAAGATAACTTGGGTATTAAGCTGGTTTTGCACCTGGGATCACTTGCCAAGAAATCAGACACGCTTCTTATGAATTGAAATACTTTTCTGGATTAATATGTTTGCTTTAAAAAATAAACAGAAAAGTCCAAGAGTGCTACCAGGAAGGGTGCTGAAGATAAATGTGCTCTTCGGTGACTATTTATTCCTTAAATGACAGTCTAATTCAACTAAATGGACCCCTTAGCTACCTAGCAGATTGGGTTTTGCCAAGTAAAACATGTCAGTCCTGAAGTGAGCAAGTTTTCCTCTGAGCAGTTGCGGTGCTGGGGAGGCGGGAAGGTGATGCTTCACATGGACGGCGTGTTTCTGGTGCGTTTCCACGTGGCAAGAATTAGGTTTGCTGCTCCAGGGATTTTCCCTGTCAGCCCTGCATGCTCATTCTGGGAAAGCGCTTAGTAACTCTTGAGCTACTCGTGGAGAGTAGCTAGGATGTGAAACAGTGTGTTTCAGTGCATAGCAATCAGAACCATTTGCTTATTTTAGAATTTTCAAAGTTCTTCAAGCGCTTGCCTCAGCCTGAGTTTTTACTTGCTGTGGTGCCTTCCGTAAGCAAAGAGAAAAGTAACGATGTTCAGCTTACGGTGTTTGGGGAAAATTTCTCCAGATGAGTTGGGGCCTTCCATTATCTAATTATTTTACTTAGGAAGAATTCCAGGTTTAGAAACTCAAGACTCAGCCGATCCTCCCTGAAATAATCTGATCATCTGCTTTTGCCTTCCCTGCCTTAGCCTTTCAGCAATGGATTGGTGACCGTGATGGTTCCCCAGCTGCGGAGGGAAAACAGCCTTCTCCTGTGGAATGTCTTTGACTTGAACACCCCAGTCCACACCTTCGTGGGGCATGATGATGTGGTGCTGGAGTTCCAGTGGAGGAAACAGAAGGAAGGTGAGTGGCAGAGGCCTGCTGCCGACTTTCCTTCTGAGCTCTGGTGACAGCAGTGCCAGTCAGTGCTGCCGTGGAGTCCAGTAAGGAAGACATAGAGAGAGCTAGGCTTTAGGAACCAGAGAGCCACGACTGTTGCCATCTTTCATCATAGGTGGGTAAAGGAACTATATAAGGCTGCTGTTCCTCTTCCAAATTCTGTCCTCTTAATTTTCAGCGTAGTCTCTCTTGCTTGGAAGAGATCTGCTCCAGTAAGAGAAGGAAGATAGAGATTTGCTGTTGGATTGTTTCTGGGACTGAAAGACTCTAGGCTCAGAAGTCCAGGGCATTTACCCCTGCCACTCTGTTGATGAGGGAGACCCAAGGTGGTCGTTAGAACTGCCTACTGCATACCCTCAGTTGTCTTCATAAGCACGTAGTGCTATTTTACCTCCCAGCCCTTTGAAGATAGATTTGGCTGATAGACTTGCTTTGATCATGACACATGATGTGGTCCCTCCTGGGTTGAAAGGTTAGGGGCTGATGTGCAATTAAACGCCCTGTTTGCCTCTGCCACATCAGTTGGCAAAGCTCAAGATAGAGCTGCTTCCAGCACATCCTGGCACGAGGATGAGGCGGAGATGCAGAGCAAGCAGGAAATGTAAGCCACCGAGGTGTTGGGGTGGTTTGTTATTGCAGCTTCATCATCCAGCCCTCGCTCATGCAGGGCCCCAGTGTAATGGGAGTCAAGAAGCCGCAGCCTCAGTTTCTCCATCAGCTCACCATGCAAGTTTAGATACAGCCTGTCTTTTCTTGCGATCGTTTTGCCATGATCTCTAAGTGTTTGACAGAATACAAGTTTATTTGTTGGTGTTTTCATGTTGCACATGGGAAGCCAGGCAGGTGGAGTGATGTGACTTGTCCAGGGTCCCCGGAAAGGTCTCTAGTGGACCTGGGATTAGAGCACGTCATGCTTCGTCCAGCCCTCGTTTGAATGATCTCATAAACTTCTCCAGGATATTTATTAAAGAGACTCTTTTGCCGGGCACCGGTGGCTCACATCCTGTAATCCCAGCACTTTGGGAGGCCGAGACGGACGGATCATGAGGTCAGGAGATCGCAACCCATCCTGGCTAACACGATGAAACCCATCTCTACAAAATACAAAAAATACCCAGGCGTAATGGTGGGCGCCTGTAGTCCAGCTACTCGGAGGCTGAGGCAGGAGAATGGCGTGAACCGGCGAGGCGGAACTTGCAGTGAGCTGAGATGCGCCACTGCACTCCAGCCTGGGTGACAGAGTGACAATCGTCTCAAAAAAAAAAAAAAAAAAAAAAGATACTCTTTTGATCATCCTGTTACCTTTCCTATGCGTATTTCCAAAATCTCTCTTGCTTCTAGAGACATGAGATTGCCTGATGTTTATCCTACCAATTGCATGCATGGGTTTTGGCTTTGAACTTAATCTCTTGCATTTTGCCATAGAAAACAGATGATGTGGCCAGGCGTGGTGGCTCACGTCTATAATCCCAGCACTTTGGGAGGCCAAGGTGGGTGGATAACTTGAGGTCAGGAGTTCGAGACCAACCTGGCCAGCATGGTGAAACCCCATCTTTACTAAAAATACAAAAAAAATTAGCCAGGCCTAGTGGCACATGCCTATAGTCCCAGCTACCTGGGAGGCTGAGGCAGGAGAATGACTTGAACCCTCAGGCAGAGGTTGCATTGAGCTGAGATCGCGCCATTGCACTCCAGCCTGGGAAACAGAGCAAGACTCCGTCTCAAAAAAAAAAAAAACAAGAAAACAAAACAGATGATGTGATTTCCTCAGTCTAGTGGGAGGGGTTGACCGGTAGTTTTGGATGGAAATAAAGTTTTTAGGAACCCATTTTTAGTTACTCATGTTGTCTTCAAGCTGGTGGGGTGAGTTGTGTAAATTGGAACTGGCTGGCCAGTAGCAAAATTTTGAGTACAAGTTACTATTTAACTTTTTTAAAATTTTTAACTGTGAAAGAGGGGAATAATAAACACTGGGGCCTACTTGAGGACAGAGGGTGGAGTGGGGAGAGGATCAGAAAAAAATAATTATTGGGTACTAGGCTTAGTACCTGGGTGATGAAATAATCTGTACAGCAAACTCCTGTGACACGAGTTTGCCTGTGTAACAAACCTGCACATGAACCCCTGAATCTAAAATAAAAGTTTAAATTAAAAAAAAAATTTTTTTCCTGTGAAATATATCATGTATTTGAAAATTACATGGAACATGTATAGTGCAACAAATAATTATAAAGTGAAAATCTATGTAATTACCATGCAGGTCAAGAAAGAAAATGATGCCAGGAGCCCCAAAGCTTCCTGATCATAACCCCCTCCTTCCCTGAGAGCCCTACTCCCCTAATGCTTATGATAACCATTGCTGGATTTTTCCTGTGTGGTTTCACTGCTTATTTCTGAATCCCTAAAGGTAGTTTAGGTTTGCCTGTTTCTGAACCTTTTACAAATTTAATTATGCATGTGTTTTTATTCAGATGTTCCTTATGATGGGGTTATGTCCCGATAAACCCATTGTAAGTTGAAAATATCATAAGTAGAAAATTTATTTTAGGCCGGGCACCGTGGCTTACACCTGTAATCTCAGTACTTTGGGAGGCTGAGGTGGGTGGATCACTTGAGGCCAGGAGTTCAAGACCAGCTTGGCCAACATGGCAAAACCCCATCTCTACTAAAAATACAAAAATGAGCCAGGTGTGGTAGTGCATGCCTGTAGTCCCAGGTACTCGAGAGGCTGAGGCAGGAGAATCTCCTGAACCCGGGAGGCAGAGGTTTCAGTGAGCTGAGATTGTGCCACTGCACTCCAGCCTGGAGACAGAGCGAGACTGTCTCAAAAGAAAAAAAAAAAAACCAAACATATTTTACCCACCTAACCCACTGAACATCATAGCCTAAGTAGCCTACCTTAAACATGCTCAGAACACTTCCATCGGCGTATGTTTGGGCTAAATCCTCTAATACAAAGCCTATTTTATTTAAAAAAGTGTTGAATATCTCATATACTTTATTGAATACTGTACATTATGTTAAAATTGTGACAGTTTCACACCATCATAAAGTCAAAAAATTGTTAAGTTGAACCATTGTAAGTTGGGAACCATCTGTATTTTACTTCTTTCTCAACCGAAGGTTGTTCCAGTTTACTTTTACTGCCATGTCTTCATCATCAATTTTTTTTTTTTTTTTTGAAGTAGGGTCCCACTGTGTCACCCAGGCTAGAGTGCAGTGGCACAAACATGGCTCACTGCAGCCTCGACCTCCTGGGCTCAAGCAGTACTTCCACTTCAGCCACCTGAGTAGCTGGCACTACAGGAGTGTGCCACCACGCCACCTAATTTTTTGTGTTTTTGTAGCGATGGGTTTCACCATGTTGCCCAGGCTGGTAGTAGTCATCAAGTTTTATTGGACCACTTCATGCTTTGATTTTACTGTGGGGAAGGATTTCTCAAAGAGGTAGGAAGTGAGTCAGGATGTTGTGGCCAGGGGACAAGGATGCCTCCTGAGGGAAGCAGTAGTCCTTGGTTTCAGGTGTTGCTGACAGATCAAAATGTAGAGTAAGAGAAAAGCATTTAACTGACCAAATCGGAAGCCATATAATCATTAAGAAAGTAGTTCCAGGCCAGGTAGTGGCTCACGCCTATAATCCCAGGACTTTGGGAGGCCAAGGCAGGTTGATCACTTGAGGCCAGGAGTTCGAGACCAGCCTGGCCAACATGGTGAAATCCTATCTCTACCAAAATATATTAAAAAAAAAAAAAAAAAAATTAGCCAGGTGTGGTAGCGCGTGCCTGTAATCTCAGCCACTCGGGAGGCTGAGGCAGGAGAATCGCTTGAACCCAGGAGGCGGAGGTTGCAGTGAGCCGAGATCATGCCACTGCACTCCAGCCTGGAGACAGAGCGAGACTGTCTCAAAAGAAAAAAAAAACCAAACATATTTTACCCACCTAACCCACTGAACATCATAGCCTAAGTAGCCTACCTTAAACATGCTCAGAACACTTCCATCGGCGTATGTTTGGGCTAAATCCTCTAATACAAAGCCTATTTTATTTAAAAAAGTGTTGAATATCTCATATACTTTATTGAATACTGTACATTATGTTAAAATTGTGACAGTTTCACACCATCATAAAGTCAAAAAATTGTTAAGTTGAACCATTGTAAGTTGGGAACCATCTGTATTTTACTACTTTCTCAACCGAAGGTTGTTCCAGTTTACTTTTACTGCCATGTCTTCATCATCAATTTTTTTTTTTTTTTTTGAAGTAGGGTCCCACTGTGTCACCCAGGCTAGAGTGCAGTGGCACAAACATGGCTCACTGCAGCCTCGACCTCCTGGGCTCAAGCAGTACTTCCACTTCAGCCACCTGAGTAGCTGGCACTACAGGAGTGTGCCACCACGCCACCTAATTTTTTGTGTTTTTGTAGCGATGGGTTTCACCATGTTGCCCAGGCTGGTAGTAGTCATCAAGTTTTATTGGACCACTTCATGCTTTGATTTTACTGTGGGGAAGGATTTCTCAAAGAGGTAGGAAGTGAGTCAGGATGTTGTGGCCAGGGGACAAGGATGCCTCCTGAGGGAAGCAGTAGTCCTTGGTTTCAGGTGTTGCTGACAGATCAAAATGTAGAGTAAGAGAAAAGCATTTAACTGACCAAATCGGAAGCCATATAATCATTAAGAAAGTAGTTCCAGGCCAGGTAGTGGCTCACGCCTATAATCCCAGGACTTTGGGAGGCCAAGGCAGGTTGATCACTTGAGGCCAGGAGTTCGAGACCAGCCTGGCCAACATGGTGAAATCCTATCTCTACCAAAATATATTAAAAAAAAAAAAAAAAAAATTAGCCAGGTGTGGTAGCGCGTGCCTGTAATCTCAGCCACTCGGGAGGCTGAGGCAGGAGAATTGCCTGAACCAGGAGGCAGAGGTTGTTGCAGTGGGCCGAGATTGCATCACTGCACTCCAGCCTGGGTGACAGAGTGAGACCCTATCTCAAAATACAAAAAATTAAAAAAAAAAAAAAAAGGCTTTCCAAAAGCGAATTGAGGAGAGAAGCCAGATCATAGGGTAGCATAAATAGGGGCAGCAGGAACCGGTTTAGGGAATGAAGTTACCCTCAAAGGCAAGGCATAGGATTAGCCAATTGGGAGAGGCTGCTGCCCTCTCTGTTGGAAGGCAGGGAGAAGATACGAGGGAGTCGGGGAAGCAAAGGGCCCCTTGGGACCAGCTGGGGAGGCACAGGTCGAGGGGTTGAGTTAATTTATAACCTTTAGAAAGGAATTAGGCACCTTTTCCTCAAAGTCAGGGGCATGAAGAGAGGCCAGATGTAGGGTCAGAAGATTGTTGATGTGGACATGAGGCAAGATGGTGGCACTTGTAACAAGCCGTGGTTCAGAATAGTTGCTCTCTGGCTGGCCATGCCTAGTTTTATATGAAATATTGAGGAGTGAAGTTTTGGTTGAAGGTGGTGACGTAGAGAAGGAACCAACTCACCCTGTGACCTTGGACAGATCATATTCTCTCGCCTCAGTTTCCCCATCCATTAAGTTAAGAAATAGGATGAAATTATTTCTAAATTCTCTGAAGGTGGCTGTGAAGGAGATTCTAGGTACTGCAAAATTATCTGCAAATGTCCTGATCTTCCAAGAAGTTATTTCATAAAGCACCCTGAACCTTTTCAGGATAATCCCTTTGACCAGACTTAAGATGAAAATATGATTCAGTCAAGTAAGAACATTCAGGATTGATTATTCATTTTACAAAGAGATGCATCACTTTACCAAAAAATTCTTTTGAATGGTAAGATGCTGTGATGCATTTGAAACAACCCATTTTGCAAAAATATGTTCATCTCCAGCTCCTTGAGAGCATGTAAAAGGAGGAACATTTGCAGAGGTGAAAGGTTAGTGTCACATTAAATCCTAGCATCGCTCTTTACCTGCTAATTTGCCAGTTAGTATTTCACTTCATTTAAGTTTCTGCTCAAATGTCATTTCCTTGGGGAGTTCTATCTAAAAATGGTTCCACCGTCAGTCTCTGTCCTCTTATCCTGTGTTATTTTTTATACCAGATGTTTTATCAGATATTTATTTGTCTATTTCTACTACTGGAATGCAAGATCTATAAAGATAGAAATTATTTTATTCATGATCTAGTCCCGGTACCTAGAATAGTGCCTGGCATTTCAGAGATGTTCAGTAGATATTTGTCGAATGGATGGATGAATCTCACTCCATTTCAACCTATAGCAAAATGGATGTTGAATCCAGAAGAATTTCCAGGATTCTTATTTGGTGATTTCTAGGGTCCAAGGACTATCAACTGGTGACGTGGTCCCGGGATCAGACCTTGAGAATGTGGCGGGTAGATTCCCAGATGCAGAGGGTATGTATTCAGTGCTATTGTGGAGAAATGTACCTGGATCCACCAAAAATATAAGATTCAGGATTTGTGGAAATTAGAGGTTACAAGATGAACTTTTTTTTGTTTTGTTTTTGAGACTGAGTCTCACTCAATCTCCCAGGCTGGAGTGCAGTGGCATGATCTTGGCTCACTACAACCCCTGCCTCCTGGGTTCAAGCAATTCTCGTGCCTCAGCCTCCTGAGAAGCTGGGATGACAGGCGCCCACCACCACACTCGGTTAATTTTTGTATTTTTAGTAGAGATAAGGTTTCACCAAGTTGGCCAGGCTGGTCTTGAACTCCTGACCTCAAGTGATCCACCTGCCTCAGCCTCCCAAAGTGCTGGGATCACCGATGTGAGCCACCGTGCCCAGCAGGATAGACATTTAATACGTACTTATTGGTTGGCTGAGTGGCTGGTGTGTACCACATCAAGGCTTTGAGGTCTTTAAGAACCAACTTCAGTATTCAGCACTTTAAGGCCAGAGAGCCTCTAAATGTCTTTCCCTCCCTTATTCTAGCATAAGATAGTATGGGTAGCTCCCTGATCATGTGCCCTGTGGGCTTCATTTCTTTCTCTTCTTAATGGACTAAGAAGCCTACCTTATACTCTGCAAATGCTTAGAGGCTTCTACATCCATCAACAACACCGCTTCTATGAAGCTGTTTGTAACTTTTTCCCGATAAATGATGTCTGTTTCTTACATGAACCGCAGTAGTACCCGGTATGAGCTGCTTTGTTGGTCCTTGCTCTTCTCTGCCTTATCACAGGGCTCTGTCCTCTCCTCATGTGATGGCTAAATTTCTTGACAGTGGGAAGGTGTCTCACTTGTATTGGATCTCCCACAGCACTTGGCACATTGCTGTGCACAGAATGAATAGAAAATACTGGATAAAAATTTCAACACTGCTTAGTATGAAGTCACTCTTGAGCAATTTGGTCAAATCTCATTACTTTATTGCATTTTCAATCTGTTTTCTCCGAAAGGTACAATTTGCACCAAAATGCCTTGGAGTTATGTGGTTTTTTTTTTTTTTTTTTTGAGACGGAGTCTCTCTCTGTTGCCCAGGCTGGAGTGCAGCCACGTGATCTTTGTTCACTGCAACCTCTGCCTCCTGGATTCAAGTGATTCTCCTGCCTCATCCTCCCAAGTAGCTGGGATTACAGGCGTCCACCACCATGCCTGGCTAATTTTTGTCTTTTTAGTAGAGACGGGGTTTCACCCTGCTGGTCAGGCTGGTCTCAAACTCCTGACCTCAGGTGATCTGCCCACCTTGGCCTCCCAAAGTACTGGGATTACAGGTATGAGCCACCACGCCTGGCCGGTTATGGTATTTTTGCTCCTGGATTAGCTGAATAACTCCATCAAGGATTGGTGTTTAAGTTAATTTTTTTTCTGAGGCTTGCATAAACTCCAAACATGATAAAAAATTTCCAGGGCTGAATAATAGAGTCTATTATCCCGAGTCTTTAACCAGGGAGAGTTGGCAGTGGGTAAAATCTGTTTTGATTATGTCAGCTCTTGGCTGACACATCTCCATCCTTTGCCATTCCCATTTTTAAGTCAGAACTCTTTAATCAGACATGACGATCATTTCCACTGACTTCTCTAGAACTACATCTTCTACCCTTTGTTGCAGCTTTGTGCAAATGACATATTAGATGGTGTCGATGAGTTCATTGAGAGTATTTCCCTTCTGCCGGAACCCGAGAAGACCCTGCACACTGAAGATACAGATCACCAGCACAATGCAAGCCATGGGGAGGAAGAAGGTAATTTGTCAAACTGATGTCTCAGGTGAGGTGCCACTCTACGCATTGTAGAGTTGTGGCAGATACCCCAGACCTATTCTCTGATTCATTTTCAAAAATGCTTTCCAACATTGAACTTCTCTCTCCTGCTAGCCCTAAAGGAAGATCCCCCTAGAAATCTCCTGGAAGAGAGGAAGTCAGATCAATTGGGGCTGCCTCAGACCTTGCAGCAGGAATTCTCCCTGATCAATGTACAAATCCGGAATGTCAATGTGGAGGTACTTAGTTTAATCAGCTGTATCTCATGTTTGCTGATGGCAGTTTGTGGGAGAGGGAACCATTTCAGCCACGATTTCGGTTAGCAAATAACTTCGCAGCTTTAACAGAACTCTCTCTGCTTGCTTTTTTATTTCCTGGGTTTTCTGGCCAGGCGCGGTGGCTTACACCTGTAATCCCAGCACTTTGGGAGGCTGAGGCCGGCAGATCAGCTGAGGTCAGGAGTTCGAGACCAGCCTAGCCAACATGGTGAAACCCCGTCTCTACTAAAAAAAAAAAAATTAGCCAGATATGGTGGCGGGCACCTGTAGTTCCAACTACTCGAGAGGCTGAGGCACAGGAATCACTTGAACTTGAGAAGCAGAGATTGCAGTGAGCCAAGATCGTACCACTGCCCTCCAGCCTGGGTGACAGAGCAAGACTCTGTCTCTAAATAAATAAATAAATAAATAAATGGATGCAGACTTTGTTTCTAACCCTATTCTTTTCTCCTAAGATGAGCCAAAGGAGAACCTGACGCTTGTGTGCCTTAGCTCCTCCTTAGATGCTCCAGCATCTCATTTTACTATAAAGGAAGATACTTAGGCCCAGGAGGCTTAGTAATTTGGCAGGAGTTGCTGCTGAAGTTAGGGGCAGAGTTGCCTTGGGAAGCCAAACCTCCAGCCCCTCCAGGGCACTCTCTGTGCTGTGCTGTGCTGTGCTGTGCCATCTTCCCTCAGGCTGGCCATTTCCTGGTGATTTCGATTCATAGTAAGAAGGCGACCAAAATTTCTTTGTTCACTTAGCCTGTGGAACATTTACTCTTTTTGTGGGGGCAAGTATTGAAAGTCTTTGCTTTAGAAAATTGAGTATCTCTCCAGAAAGGAGTTTTAAAGCTTGATTAGTTTTTCCTTTACCCAAATATGTGCTGTTACATAACTATCTCATGTGGCCTTTAAAACAAGTCTGCTGGCTGGGTGTGGTGGCTCACGCCTGTAAGCACTTTGGGAGGCTGAGGTAGGCGGATCACGAGGTCAAGAGATCGACACCATCTTGACCAACATGGTGAAACCCCGTCTCTACCAAAAATACAAAAATTAGCTGGGCGTGGTGGTGTGTGCCTCTAATCCCAGCTATTCGCAAGGCTGAGGCAGGAGAATCGCTTGAACCCGGGAAACAGAGCTTGCAGTGAGCCAAGATTGCGCCACTGCACTCCAGCCTGGCAACAGAGCAAGACTCTGTCTCAAAAAACAAAACAAAAACAAAAAAAAAGTCTAAGTGGTTTTAGCCTCACTTTATAGCTGAGGAAACAGAGACATCAAGAGAAGAAATGTCCAAGATCAGCAGGTATTTGGTGGAAGAAATAACATGTGAATCCAAGTCTCCAGATTTCCCACATGTGGTTCTCGTCACTTTACTCCAGCTGCTGTCTCTAGTTGGCAGCACAAGAAATCGAAAGATATAAAAGATTCTTTGCTTCATTAGTGATCTATATCAAGTCAGTGTATACTCCCTTTGTCGCATTTGAGGACAGTGTGGATTCCTAGTGATCTAGTTGAAGATCTTGATTCCTTTCTTTGAGAGTACTTTAAAAAAATTATTGAGATATAATTCACATACTATAAAATTAATCTTTTTGGGTTTTTTTTGAGATGGAGTCTTGCTCTGTCCACCCAGGCTGGAGTGCAATGGCACTATCATGACTCACTGCAACCTCTGCCTCCCGGGTTCAAGTGATTCTCCTGCCTCAGCCTCCCAAATAGCTGGGATTATGGGCATACACCACCACACTCAGCTAATTGTTTTTTGTATTTTTAGTAGAGATGGGGTTTTTGCCATGTCGGCCAGGTTGGTCTTGAACTCCTGACCTCAGATGATCTGCCCGCCCTGGCCTCCCAAAATGCTGGGATTACGGGTGTCAGCCACCACGCCCAGCCAGAATTCCCTTTTTTAAAGTGAATAATCTGGCGGTTGTGGGTGTGTTCACAAAGTTGTGCAGCCATTACCACTGTCTGATTCCAGAACATTTTCATCATTCCCAGAAGAAACCGCGAACTCATGAGCAGTCCCTCCCTATTTCCCTTTCCCCCAGCCCCCGGCAATCCCAAATCTACTTTCTTCCCCTATGGATTTTCCCAGGAGCACTTTTTAAGTTGAGTCTGGTGTTTAACTTCTTCCTGCTTTATTTTCCCATCTCAAAGTAAATATAACAAGTTTTAGTCTACCCCACAACTTGGGGAGGAAGCTTCGTTAAAGTCAGAATACTTTGAACTTGACAGTGGCTCACGCCTGGAATCCCAGCACTTAGGAGGCCAAGGTGGGTGGATCACTTGAGGTCAGGAGTTTGAGACCGGCCTGGCCAACATGGCGAAACTCCATCTCTACCAAAACAAAACAAAAAAACCAAAAAAACAAAAATAAAGATTCCCTGGGCATGGTGGCGCCTGCCTGTATTCCCAGTATTTGGGAGGTGGAGGTGGGAGAATCACTTGAACCCAGAAGGTGGAGGTTGCAGTGAGCTGAGATTGTGCCACACTGTACTCCAGCCTGGGCGACAGAGTGAGACCCTGTGTCAAAGAAAAAAAAAAAACTTTCAGCTTATTCCATTGGTATGAAAATTTAATAATCTGATATGAAAATTTAAGAATCTTTTTGAAAATGAATTGTCTTCCACACAAATTTGTCTTTGTAGAGTCTTTCCCTTCACCCAGTTACTAGGAACATGGAGCGTTCAGTTAAATGCACGTGCATCGAAAGACGCTTTGTGGTTTGTTTGCAAAGCCATTGTGGATTTGTCTCTTGCAGATGGATGCGGCAGACAGGAGCTGCACAGTGTCCGTGCACTGCAGCAACCATCGCGTCAAGATGCTGGTGAAGTTCCCTGCTCAGTATCCAAACAACGCCGCCCCTTCCTTCCAGTTTATTAACCCCACAACCATCACGTCCACCATGAAAGCTAAGCTGCTAAAGGTAGGGGTCTGGGTTCCCAAATTCTCCTGCTGTTCTGCATCATTGTCTAGACTGAGTAGGAAAGAAGACTGAAAACTCTAGTAGATGAGATTCAGAAGTCATCTGTTTCATACACACACTAGTGTTAGCAACGTAACGTCTGCACTTGCCATTTACTTTGTGTAGAAAACATAAGAGCGGTGGTTCTTAACCTTTTTTGGGTCATGGCCTTCCTCAGAAAAATCTACACAATGATTGCATATGGTTTGAGAAATACTGCCTATAAATATGTGAATTGCATATAATCTGTCCACAGATCTCATTAACGTTATGATTCATCTCAGGTTATGAGATTTGCAATCTAATTTCATTTAGGAGCCCAGGTTAGGAGCACTGCAGTTCAATTTCGTTTATGTGGAAACAACAAGCAAGATGTATTCTGAAGCTAAAAGATATTTTACAATTAGAAAAAAACATGTGTAAGGTCATAAAAAAAATTTTATCCCATAGAAGGAGCTGGTGTTATCCTAGAGGTAGACTGGCTAGCTGCACAGTGGGTGTCCAGATGGAGGTGCCACAGCCTGACATCAGTGTTTAATTCTGCAGATTCAGAGACTTGATGTGTCAGTTCATCCAGAGCAAATCAGGTGGAATCTCCATGACAAAGCCCCATGAGCCTCTTCATACCCCTTGTTCAGTTTGAGCAGTGTCACAAGTAAAGGGACTGGAGTTTTTTTGGCAAACTCAGGCCAACCTGAATGTTGCTCATTTTTTGCCCGGTTTGGATCGTGGACACTTGATTGTTATGCTTTGTTGGGGTATCACATGAAACTAGGACGTTTTCAAGTGGCTTAAGGATCTCTGAAATGCCAGTAACTCAGATCTTGTGGTATTTGACATGTTAAACGTGGAATCTGAATATGTTGTTGCCTAGTTTGGACATACAAAAAAGATAGATTTTTCTATTAGTATAAAATGATACGATTAGATTGCAAATTTTTTTTGTGAAAAATCAGACTTTTTCCCAGTGCAGTGGCTCACTCCTGTAATCTCAGCACTTTGGGTGGCCGAGGCGCATGGATCACCTGAGATCAGGAGTTCAAGACCAGCCTGGGCAACATGGTGAAACAAAAATACAAAAAGTAGCCAGGCATGGTGGCGCATGCCTGTATTCCCAGCTACTCGGTAGGCGAATCACTTGAACACGGGAGGCAGAGGTTGCAATGAACGGAGATCGCACCACTGCACTGCAGCCTGGGCAACAAAGACAGACTCTATCTCAAAAAAAAAACACAAAACAGAATAGCCTGTCAGAGAAATGTGCTCCTCTTCTTGACTGTGTTTTGGGCCTTTTCTAGATCCTGAAGGACACGGCCCTGCAGAAAGTGAAGCGCGGCCAGAGCTGCCTGGAGCCCTGCCTGCGCCAGCTCGTCTCCTGCCTCGAGTCCTTTGTGGTGGGAAGCATGAAACTGTTGTAACAACTTATGCTTTGGCGTTTTGTTTCATTTCTTTCTCCCTAAAATCATGGGCTTTTTTTTTTGTTTCCTGCTGGGTGCTTATTTTGTAATTCAACTTCAAGACAGGTTGCGGTTTTAGCTTATGGAATTTTAAATTTCAGAACCAGGAAGACAGCGCTTCCAGCAATCCGTTTGCACTCCCCAACTCTGTCACACCCCCGTTACCGACTTTTGCTCGTGTGACCACAGCCTATGGGTCGTACCAGGATGCCAACATTCCCTTTCCTAGGACTTCTGGGGCCAGGTTCTGTGGAGCAGGTGGGTCTCTTTGGTTCTCTGATTCTAGATTTTGAGAGGGAGCAGCTAAGAATGTCATAGATTCTGTATAAACATCTTCAGCAACAAATGTTTGCTTTTACTCCCAGAGAACTCCAACGAGACTTTCATAGTAGCGTGGCAGGGTGTGAGGCCCACTCGGGGTCTCTGGACTTATCCTAAGAGTGTGCACCAGAATGGTGGTCTTCACTTTCTTCATTCTGATGAGCTTGGGTTTGAGTCTTTACTCAGAGCCCTGAGTCTTAGCAGGGGACAGTCCCCTGGTAGGGAGCCTTAGAGTCCCGCTGATGCCTCTGCCCCGCCCACCTACATCCTGTCTCCTGGACTCGAGTCTGACCTTTGTTCTTGGTAAGGGTCACCACACTCATGAGTCTTGCAGCTTATGAAAATGTGTCTTACCCTCAGGTATACAGAGATAGAAGACAGACTGGCCAGTCCTGCCTCAGGATTTCCCACGTCCAGCTTGTTGACACTGACGGCTCATGTGATGTCTTCTTCTTTAGGTTACCTGGTGTATTTCACAAGGCCCATGACGATGCATCGGGCGGTGTCTCCCACAGAGCCTACTCCGAGGTGAGTGCGGGAGATGCAGAAGCCACTCTACGTTCCCGTGGCCAGAAGTGGCCAGAGACCTGGGAAGGACCACGGAGTTTGTCTTTGGACAATGAGTTTTAGTTCTTCAGTAAACTCCTATTACAAGATTTATTTGAGAAAGATTGAAGTCAATTAAGTTGCAAGAAAGCTGAGATTTCTGCTGTACAGTTATTACCAAACCATTAGAAGAAGTAGATTGGGCCGGGCGCGGTGGCTCAAGCCTGTAATCCCAGCACTTTGGGAGGCCGAGACGGGCGGATCACGAGGTCAGGAGATCGAGACCAGCCTGGCTAACACGGTGAAACCCCGTCTCTACCAAAAAAATACAAAAAACTAGCCGGGCAAGGTGGCGGGCGCCTGTGGTCCCAGCTACTCGGGAGGCTGAGGCAGGAGAATGGCGTGAACCCGGGAGGCGGAGCTTGCAGTGAGCTGAGATCCGGCCACTGCACTCCGGCCTGGGCGACAGAGCGAGACTCCGACTCAAAAAAAAAAAAAGAAGTAGATTGATAAAAGCTCTTGTCAAAACAAGGCAAATTGTTTTTAAATATGCCTTTCCCCTATTGCTAGCATATTATTTATTATTTGTTTTTGATTATTTTATTATTCAATTTAACATTAAATAAAACTGGAAAAATAACAAAAAAACCATCTGTAGTTTCACAACATTAATATGCCACTTCTGATATTACCAAACAATGTGTAATTTTATAACATTATGTAAGTAGTACATTGGGAAAACACAAACGAAATTTTTTTTTTTTTTTAAGATAGGATCTGGCTCTGTCACCCAGGCTGGAGTGCAGTGGCACGATCATAGCTCACTGCAGCCCTTACCTCCTGGCTCAAGTGATCCTCCTGCCTCTGCCTCCCAAGTAGCTGGGACTACAGGCGTGCACCACCATGCCCAGCTAATTTTTATATGTTTTTTTAGAGATAACGTTTTGCAGTGTTGCCAGGCCGGTCTCAAACTCCTGAGCTCAAGCAGTCCACCTGTCTCAGCCTCCCAAAGTGCTGGGATTAAAGGCATGAGCCGCCATGCCCGGCCTGGAAGTTTTAAATTACAATGTGAAAGCCTTTCTTTGCCTTTTCCCTGTTTTAGAGATAATCATGTTTAACAACAGAACATGTTTCTGTCTAGTCATTGTTTTTCTGTGCTTTAAAAAAAGTTTTTCTTTATAGGCAATCTAGTGTAGCAGATAGGAATGTGGACTTCAGAGCCAACGTGTCCAGATCCAAATTTTGGCCCTGTCATTTTATGACCTTGGGCAAGTTATCTCAACTTCAGCTTCAGTTCCCTCAACAGTAACATGGGATGATCGTAGCACCCACCACCTGTAGTTGCTGGGAAGATTAAGTCCCTCTAAAAACATTTAAAACACCACCTGGTATATCGGAAGTGCTCTGTGTGTCCTGTTATGATTACTGGGTTTTAAAACTTTAGGATTATACAGTAGACTTCTGGTTCTGCAGTCTGGTGACCAAGATATAATAACTTGCAAAGCTCCCTGCTGCAATCCCCTGAAGGCGCTGGATACAGTATCATCAGCATAGTCATTGTATTAGTCCGTTCTCACACTGCTATAAAGAACTGTCCAAGACTGGGTAATTTATAAAGAAAAGAGGTTTAATTGACTCACAGTTCCACATGGCTGGAGAGACCTCAGGAAACTTAAAATCGTGGCGGAAGGGGAAGAGGCACATCTTACATGGCAGCAGGCGAGAGAGAGTGTGTATGTGAAGGAGAAACTGTCAGATCTTATAAAACCATCAGGTCTGGTGAGAACTCACTATCATGAGAACAGCATGGGGGACACAGCCCCCATGATCCAATCATCTCCCACTCTGTCCCTCCCTCAACATGTGCGGATTGTGGGGATTACAATTCAAGATGAGATTTGGGTGGGGACACAAAGCCTAACCCTATCAGTTATGAATGAATAACTGAGCCAACAAGAAAGAAAGAGAACTGAATGAGAGAACTGTGTGAGCAGACACTGCTGTTTTGCCAAGAGGTGGCCAATCTCTGCAGTAACCTGGGCAGATGTGACCTGGGCCCCATGGGAACTGGGGTTCAGTACTAGGGAATACCTACATTACACCCAGTTCCTTATTGGAGTAGAAAATGTCCTGTATTCTCAAAGGGAAAGAAGGAATATCTGTATCTGGACTTCAGATTAGAGGGGAAAATGTTCCTATTAGAATGTTTTTCAACTGACAGTCCTTTACTAAGGTATAGTTTACAGTACACAAATCTGAAGTGTACGGCTCGGTGACCAACACTCACATTAAGATATAGAACATTGTCCTCACCCCCAAAGGTTCCTAGTCCCTTTTCCCAGCCCTTCAGCACCCAGAGGACACCACTATCTTGACTTCTGTCCTCATAGTTTTGCCTGTTCTTGAACTTCATTGAAGTGGAATTGTGCGGCATGAACTGTTTTATGTCTGGCTTACTTTGCTCAACTTAATGTTACTGACATTGATCCACATTGCCACATGTGTCAGTAGGTCCATCGGATGAATATAACACAGTTTGTTTATTCATTGTCCTGTTGATAGATATTTGCATCCTTTCCAGTTTTTGGCCATTATGAGCAAACCTGGATACATATGTTCATAAAAAGACTTGTATATTAATTTCTGCACCTGAGGAGCAGAATTCCTCAGTCGTCGAATAGATGTATGTTTAACTTGAGAAACTGCCCAAAAGTTTGTGCACAGTGGTTGTGCCATTTACCCTGTCACCAGCAATGTTTCAGAGCACCGGTTGCTGTGTATCCACTCCAAAACTTGGTATTGCCAGTCTTTTCATCTTTAGCCATTGTGATGTGAGTGTCCTAGTGTCTCACTGTTGTTTTAATTTGCTTTTCCATGTTGATGATGAATGATGTCAAGCAGCTTCTGTGTGCACATTGACCATTTGGGTATCTTTTTTTGTGTTGTGCTTAAGTACTTTGCCCATTTTGGGGGAACTGCATTTCTTACTTATTTCTGGTTGTTATCTATTTTGGTTACAAATTCTTTGCTAGATGTATGTATGTATTTTCTCCTAATCTGTGGCTTGTCTTTCTCCGTCTTTAATGTTTTTCAGTGAACAGATTTTCCTAATTTTGATGATGTCCAATTTATCATTTTTAAATTTTATTTATTTTATTTTTTTATTTTTTATTTTTATTTTTGAGACAGAGTCTTGCTCTGTCACGCCAGGCTGGTATGTGCAGTGGCACGATCTCGGCTCACTGCAAGCATGCCTCCCAGGTTCACGCCATTCTCCTGCCTCAGCGTCCCAAGTAGCTGGGACTACAGGCACCCACACGACACTGGCCTAGTTTTTTGTATTTTTTAGTAGAGACGGGTTTTCACCGTGTTAGCCAGGATGATCTTGATCTCCTGACCTCGTGATTCCACCTGGCTCGGCCTCCCAAAGTGTGGGATTACAGGCGTGAGCCACTGTGCCGGGCCTATTTATTTTATTTTTTATTTTTTGAAACGGAGTTTCGCTCTTGTTCCCCAGGCTGGAGTGCAATGGCACAATCTCAGCTCACCACAACCTCCGCCCCCGGGTTCAAGGCAATTCTCCTGCCTCAGCCTCCCGAGTAGCTGGGATTACAGGCATGGTGCCACCACCTTGGCTCATTTTGTATTTTAGTAGAGACGGGGTTTCACCCTGTTGGCCAGACTGGGTCTCAATCCCAAGCTCAGGTGATCTGGCCGCTTCCCAAAGTGCTGGGATGACAGGCTGTGACTACCGCCCGCGGCACACAGCCTTAAGGGCACTATACATATTTTTAAAAGCTTTATAGAAAAATAAATAGATAAATAAAAATAAATGCTTTATAGATTTAAATTCCTTATTTAAGGTCTGTGATCCATTTCAAATTAATTTTTGCATGTAATGTGAGTTAAGGGGTCAAAGTTTGTTTTATTTGGTAGAAAAACAGTTGTTCTAGCACCATTTATAAAAAGCTTTCCTTTCTTCATTGAATTTGTATTGATGCCTTTGGTGAACATCAGTAGATCATGTATTTGTGGCCTTTCTGGAGTCTCCTTTTTCCTTTGATCTGTTTATCCTTTATGCCAACACTACATTTATAATGTACTTTTATATAGTTCAGTCTTCAAATCTGATACGTCAAGTTCTCCAATTATATTATTCTTGTTTAGTTCAGGTTGGGTATTCTAGGTCTTTTAATAAAATTATGAAATCAGCTTATTAGTTCCTACTACAAAGCCTGCTTGTATTTTGATTGGAATTGTGTTGACTCTGTAGAACAATTTAGAGAAAATTGATGTGTTAAGAATACGGACTGTTCCAATCCACTAGCGTGGTGTATTTCTCCATCATTGTATGTCTCGTTTAATTTCTCTCAGCAACATTTTGTATTGTCATGCACATTTTCAAAAATTAAATTTATTCCTAGGTATTTGATGTGTTTTAATGCTACTATAAATGAGCTTTAAAAATACTTATTTTCCAAATGTTTGTTTCTAATTTATAGAACTATAGTAGATGTTTGTAGGTTGACCTTGTATTCAAATTCACTTATTCTAGTAGTTTGCAGATCCCTTTGAATTTTTCATGTCTGTAATCATAGAAGCATTCTATGCTTCTGCAGAAAAAGCATTTTTCAGTGTTAAAAGTTTTATTGACTTCTTTTTCTGGAGTTTCCATCTTCTCATTTTGTCTTCTCCTCTTGGTATCAAGTGCTAAGAATAGCACCATTGGAAATATGACAGGACTGCAGCCAGTGTGGATAATTATCATTTTCAACTACAGATCTCTCTCAGCCTTGTCCGCTTATCACACTGGCTTGATCGCGCCCATGAAGATCCGCACAGAGGCCCCTGGGAACCTTCGTTTATACAGTGGTAGCCCCACTCGCAGCGAGAAAGAGCAGGTCTCCATCAGCTCCTTCTACTACAAGGAGCGGGTAAGTGCCAGAGCCGCGGCCTTTGATTCTTACCCCTTCTCCTGGATTGTTGTTCCTCAGCTCCTGCCTGGTGCAGCAGCTAGATTAGTAATCCCCCTGTAACCGTTCACTTTCATAATCAGTTTGTTCAAGAAAGCCATTGCTTTGTTCCTTTCGGTTGGTTTTACCTGCTCTAAGTTGTGTGTGTATGGGTTGGGGGGTAGTTCTTAGATCCATAATCTTTACTCCCCATTTAACCCTGTCCTTGTAGTCTCCATTCACTGAGCTGATTCCCATTATTTCAGGGTAGGATACCTTAGCTTCAGGTCTTCCGTGGTATTGTGATGTTTGTCAACAAATTAAGGGATGCCTCTGAAGTCTTGGGATCTTAATATATTTGGAACTTCATAGTTGTGAGAAGTCTTAAAGTTAATGTCTAAAAGGTTTTTTTTTTTTTTTTTTTTTTACTAAGTCTACATGGAAATACATATCTGAGTGGACCAGATGACACAAAAATCACCTGAGCTTGTCCTTATGTGCCTAGTTTCTTAAAGAACTAATTGTCCCTGAATAGTTATCATTAAGCTGTCAGAAACCTGTGGTGCCAACAATGTAGAGAATGTTGGCAGAGCATAGGAATGATCCTAAGAAAGCTTTCTGTGTTGGCAGATTGCAGGTCTGGGTTAAACAGACTTTTAGCTGACATGATGTTTTCAACAGAGTTACCACTGAGCACTGCACAAACTCAGGCCTTAGGAATTCTTTGTTGTTATCTCTTGCTGAATGGGAAATAATGGATTGTAATTAATATTTGTTTTTAAAAAAACTGAATTATTTTAGACAAAACACCCATTTCTAGGGAGTATTAGAAGTGCCTTCAGTTCGACTGCAGTAGAATGTCCAACCTTCTTGGTTTACACTGAGAGTTGGCCATCTCTGACTTTATTTTAGGGTTGTATGTGACTAAAATGAGTGGCAGCAAGTGATGTTTGAGACCAGCCAGCCTTGAACAAAACCATTTAGTTGAATAGGGAAAATGTTTTTTTTTTTTTTTCTTCTGGACACTTTCCTATAGTCCCCTTCCTCACATCTCTGATGGAATTCTGCCCACTTGCTTAGTACAGACCTCCTTGGAACACCCACTCATCTATATCATCTCCAGGTCCTTTCCATTCAAAATTGTTAGTTCTTTTTTCCCACGTTTGCAGGTAATTGGAGAGATGATTTGATAAACAGGTTGGAACTAAGACATTTCGTTGAGATGAAAGCCAGGCTTATGGTTGGGTACATGTGGGAGTTCCCTTTAGTATCAGGGACAGGTCAAGGAGATCTTTCAGTCCAAGAGGCAGTTCTGAATTCCTCTTTGATTCATGTCATGTGCCACCCATGCTTGGGTTCAGATTGGGCAGAATAGACTGACTAGTAATTTTGACTTTGTGGGGGTGTGTAAAGCCCACAAAAGCCCACAAAAATCAAAATAACTCCAGTTCCAAGATGGGGCCTCTTTTAAGCCTGTGTTCATGTTTTTGATGGTATGGACTTTTTTACTACAAACACCATAATTACAAAGAGGAACCAAGAGCACGTGGATAATTCTCTCATCAGATAGCATATGCAGGGTAGTGGAGGAAGAGTTGTGAAATTTCAGTTCGGGGTGGTTCCCAGTGCTCTGTTCGGCACAGAAAGTGGGCTGTTTGAGCCCCCTAATAGACATAGTAAGTGGCCTTTTATGTTTTATTTCAAATAGTGACCAAATAAAATGGGGTGATGCTTTGATTATAATTTCATATGAAACTCTTGTATTGATATATACCAAATACAGAAAAGTTCACAAATCAAAGGCGTGTACAGTTCAGTGAATTAATAATCTCATAGGTCAAGAAATAGAACATTTTAAGAACCTCAGAAACCTTGGATTATTAGCTTAAGTCATACGAAATTGCTTATATTTGACCATTTTTGACCTAAACAAAGATTCTTGTGGTTCAACTTAATAGGTTAACAAGATAAAAATAAGTCAGTCATTTTGTGATGAATTTGACATAAATTTCTTTCTCCTTGAAGTTTGTTCACATTCATCCCATTTACGTAGGGGCCAAGGAGGGAATTACATAAGTGTGATATGGCCATGATATCTTATGTGGGCTACCTTACCTCCCTTACAAAGGTTGATACCCTTGAGGAGCATTTTCTAATCCTCAGCTGACTAGTTTCACATGTCAAATGATGTCGCTTTTGTTGCTTTTGTTTTGGAAATGATTCCAGTCTACTAAATTTCTGTTTGTGTTTTTGGGTTTTGGAATTTTTTTTTTTTTTTTTTTTTAAAGAGATGAGACTTCACTCTGTTGCTCGTTGCTCAGGCTGGAGTGCAGTGGTGTGAACATGGCTCACTGAAACCTCAGACTCCGGTACTCAAGTGATCCTCCCACCTCAGCCTCCTGAGTAGCTAGAACTACAGGAGTCCACCTCATCACCCAGTTAATTAAAAACAAATATTTGTGTAGAGCTGAGGTCCCGCTATGTTGCCCAGGCTGGATTTCTCTGTGTTTAGGTCTTCATTTTTAGCCCAAATTTTTCTCCTACATATTTTTATTCCCTTTTAGATCTCTGCCCCTGAGAGCTTTAAATGAGTAAGAAAAACAGAACAGAATGTAACTGCCTTAAGGCATAGCAGTGAGGGAAGTATAGTGGTTTTTTGGTTTTGGGTTTTTTTGGTCTGTGTTTTGTAGAGATGAGGTCTTGCTATGTTGCCCAGGCTGGTCTCAAACTCCTGGGTTCTAGCAGTCTTCCTACCTCAGCCTCCCAAAGTGCTGGGATTATAGTCATGAGCCATCTCACCCAGCCAGTATAGTGGTTTTTTTTTTTTTTTTTTTTTTTTTTGAGACAGCATTTCGTTCTTGTTGCCCAGACTGGGGTACAAAGGTGCAGTCTTGGTTCACTGCAACCTCTACCTCCTGGGCTCAAGCAATTCTCCTGCCTCAGTCTCCCGAGTAGCTGGGATCACAGGTGCCCACCACCACACCTGGCTAATTTTTTGTATTTTTAGTAGAGACATGGTTTCACCATGTTGGCCAGGCTGGTCTCGAACTCATGACCTCCGGTGATCCACCTGCCTTGGCCTCCCAAAGTGTTGGGATTACAGGTGTGAGCCACCGCGCCTGGCCCAGTAGAATGTAATAACAAAACATCTTTATAGAGCCATCTAGAGATTATTGTTTGTTTCTCCTGTGGTCTTGTGTGTTTTTAACCTGCCCTACTTAGGTTATGTTGTTTTATTCACCCAAATATTCTCTAGATGGAATGCTAAGGTTTGCTCCTAAAAATTTTAAAACGTGTGATGCCTCAAAAGCCATCAAATTGCTAACATTAATTTGACAAGTGAACTCTTAATAGCTGATGAAGTGTTGTTCATTCCTAGGGTAAATCAGAAGGCCCAGAACTTAGGATAAGCGTTAGGTGTTGCCTTGCATACATTTAAACATTGTTGCAACCTCCCACTCTTGCTTTAGTTTATGTTACTAAAATAGCTCTGATGTAAATAACTGGAGAGATCTTTAAGTTAATAGAATAATTTCTGATCTCCATAAACAGATACTCATCTTGTTAGCAAGGGTGCTTTCAAGAAGGTCCCTCCTCAGTGTTAGCCTCTTCCTTCCCCTCGTTTCTTCACGGTTCCCATTTCTCCATGGTGTCACTCTGAAGACAGTCCTGTAGGCCCAATGTCAAGACACCGAATTCCCTCATCGCCCCCCAACCACATACAGGAAAAAATTTGGTGTTGAGTCTATTCAAGAATGTCTTCCTTTTAGGAATGAGTATGTGCTCTCAATATATGTTCTCCTTCTTGCCTCCTGCAGGGGAAAACGGGCTTCTGCCTATTTCTCCACTTGCACAATGATCTTAGTGTGTGTTAGTGTTCCTCAAACCTATTTGTAGTTCCTTTGTCAGAACTGTGTTGATGTCAGCCTCCATATACCTTGAAATGTGACTAAAAGAACAATGAAATTGAAGCTGTATTTGGAGTGTGATGGGGTGGGAGGGAGGTGAGGGAAGCCGAATACCGCTGTGCTTAGGATCAGATCTTTTAGTCGTTCCAATCCCAACTTTACAGTGTATTATGGTACATTTGAATCCATCGGATGTGTGGGAAGCTTTCATTTTATTCTATATTTTTCCCTTTTAATTTTCTTGGTGTTTTTCTTCCCTCCTCCTGGGTGTAACGTTTTCATGCACAGATGTCTCCTCGCTCTGCCCGGCGGCGTTGGTCCATACAAGCAATTAACGACTTCCCGGTACTGTGCGCTGTGCAAATGCTCTCCTTAACTAATGCTGTCTCTACCCAAGGCCCAAGAATAAAATGCCACCTGCCTGGCTTTGAGGAACCTGAAATGACAGGCTAGCTGTTTTCAGGACCAGCAACAGTCAATGTTTTGCTTGGGGGAGTTCAGGCACCAAGGACTGTCTCCTTGTCCAATCACAGAGTTTCAAATGGCTAATATTGTCAGGGATCCTGAATGGACTCTTTTTGCAAAGGAAACTAAATACTGGGTTTCTTGGAAAGAACCCTGATTGTAAGCCGTTAGCTCACCCAATTTCACTTGGAGCATTTGTGTAATTTTTTTGGAGCTTTCAAAAGCCTACCTTTGGCATGGGGGGAGCAGAGGAAGATATAAGAGGCTTCCACTATTTTGTCTCTGCTTTTACAGTCACAGAGGGAGGTGCCCACCTGCTTCATTGGCATAACACAGAAGCTAGTTTTTATCCTTTGGGAAGTTTCTGGAACAAATTTTTTCCTTACCATCAATATTTTGTGTAGACAGTAAAACCTCCGCTGTGGACATCCTCTCTTCCTTTTCTTTCTTTCTTACTCACTCCTATTGGCCATTTCCCCTCTTCTGTCTTCCTCTCCCATCCCTTCATGTTTCAGTAGTGCCAAGGTGACCTCACGCTGTGCAAGGCAGCCTTGAGGCTTTGTATAAATTTCATGTGGTATAAAGAATACTGAGGGGAATCATCCTATA